TTGGGTTGAGGCCTTGTCTTATTTCTGTTAACAGGTTTCAGAGGCCACAAGAGGAATGATCTCAGTCCACATATACCATGTTATAACCACATAACATAACATGTTTTAAATGCTGATTGTAAGAATTTAATTTGAAAGCCAGGGGGACAAAGTGATTTATTTTGCATAAGATTGCTTTGTGGAGAAGATCCTGCTTCCTACACTGTCCAAACAAGTTTACTGGTGAGCAACAGGACTTCATGCTCTTTCCACACCCAAGATAAAAGGGGCAGAATTTCTAGATAGAGGTGCAACATGTGAGATTAAGTCCCTCTCCAACATTTGGTTATCAGATCTGGATGAGGCCAGCGGGTTTTGCACCTGTTTTTTCCCAAGAATTATTTTTGAACTTTCATCTTTCTAATCAGATGTGTTTGGTGTAGGCTGTGATCTATGTTTAAGCTGTTTTGACGCTGGACAGTATAGGGTTCATCTTAATGAGGAATGTAACAGTACATTGCAGAGCTGTAGTTAACTATCCTTTAAAAAAAGATGTCCAATTTAATGTTGAGCTGCTTGAATCTACCGTTCTCCCACTTTTCTTTTCTTCGCCTCATTCCCTCTCACCTTGAGCTGTAGCTGCACTTTCTCACCATGACAGAGTGTTACCATGTGACCTTAAATTCCTGTATCCACTGTTTCAAATTAAAAGCACAGTAGAGTTTTCTAATTGACTTCATGACATTGCAGTGGCACTTATATCGAAGCTTAAACCTGAGCCTTTGTCACTACTTGTAGCTTTGGCAGGATGCCGACAGCATGAAATCCATAATAAGAGAAATGAAAGTGAAGCAGTCACAGGATCATGAAGTTTGTCTCAATTCAGCTGTTGTGTCTTTGCTTCAGTACAGCTGTAGTCGGCATGTTAATTTCAGACCAACTTCCTGCCCTGAATGTTTTTGTTTTGGAATCCATTTTAGGTGACAGAGCACAGGAAGTGAGCATGACTGCAGTTTATTTTTCAACCATAGCTGATCTGAACAACACTGGGTGACTACATCCTCCAGTAATAATCCCTATTTATCCTGGAATGCATATTGAATGTATTAATGTCGTTGTGATGGGTGTATTTTTTAAATGATTAAATACTAAACTATTAAAAAAATACTGGTAGTTTCATTCTTGTAATGAAACACAGTTTGAATGTAAAGCAATATCTTGGGTGCATTATAATAATTTGGGTTTCACAAAATTGTTGCTTCCAAGTACATGTCACATCATGATTGCATTTTAAGTGGCAGCCTACTGGGAGTTTCTGACTGTTACAAACATATGTGAGTGAGCAAGTGTTTTTTTATGTTTTGAACCTTGTTTTTGTTTGCTCCCCACAGAGCAGATCTTCCAGAACCTCCGACAGGAGTACAGTCGGATCCAGAGGCGGCGACAGCTGGAGGGGGCTTTCAACCAGACTGAGGCCTGTAGCTCCAGTGACGCCCCCAGCCCCAGCTCATCCATCAATGCTCCCAGCTCCCCACCAGGTAGAACAGTTTACCACTGTGCACAACTCCAGGAACCATGTAATTGGTCTTGTATGTAATATGTACTGGAGCTAGATGAAGACCTACTGGCAGTGGATGTTTTGAGCCAGTTCGGACTTTAATGACTCAAAAAATCAGATTGATATAATATAAAATAATAATTCTAGAGCAAGTGTCAGTATGCTGGTAATAACTTGCACCACCATTACAAACGTGTATTTATAGTGATGCTTTCATAGCTTACTGGACAAGAGACATGCCTCCATGTAATCTGTGATGTGCCACAGAGGAAATAAATTCATGATGAGCGAGTTATTGGCATCTTTCAATGTCTTTACTGCAGAAATCAAACAGCCAAGAATAGCAGAGGTGATATCATGGAAAGTCTAATGACAGAAGATAAAAATAAATGTGTAAAAGCAATGACAGTTTTCATCTACAAAGAGTTTATGTCCTTTATTTTTAAAAATGACACTGATGAATTTTTACTTGTGTAAAGCTCTGTACAGTGAAAACATGTTCAGTTAAGATCAGTTGACATAGATCTGTGCAGGTTGCAGTGGATTTACAACATGCCGAGCCTTCATCCAAATATTACAACATGACTAGTCGTGCATATTGACAAACAAGCTGCTTCACTGTTTTTCCTGCTCTTCTTTGGAAACACTGTGCGGCAGTAACAGTGAATCAGTTTGATGTATTCAGCACAACATGGCGGTCAAGGTGTGAGATGTAATTCAAGCCTGAGGCCTTCGGGCTCCCGAGCTTCTTTCCGCTCACTCTGCAGAACGGACTCATAGATTACACTGACTGGACGAACTCGGCCTCTTTCTGTCTCGAAGAACTCGCTCTGCCGTCCCCGCCTGTGATTTACAAACATTTTAGTCTAACCGGCTCATAGCAGACCTTAAAGGCCACTGGGTAATGAATCACCTCGCTGAAGCTGGCTCCAGTTCTTCTGTGATGGAGACACTGACGAGACTCTGTGTCTCCATCACAAAGGGACATCGTTACCGCTGCCTGACCCTGGTAGTCCCTGCAGGGGCGAGGGATGAGAGAGCACGGCTGTAAATATGCACCTGGCCGAGCATCTACTTTTAGAAGAGGACGAGTCTGTCACCTCATTATTCAGCCTTTTTATAGCTGATCTGATTTTTGTGTTTTTCGTTTGTGTGTGTTTCACAGGTGCCTCAAGGAAGGACCAGCCCTCGTTCACACTGAAGCAGGTGAGCTACCTGTGCGAGCGCCTGCTCAAAGACCATGAGGAGAAGATACGGGAGGAGTACGAACAGATCCTTAACACAAAACTTGCAGGTAAAAAACAATTTAATAAAAACTATCACATCAAGACTCATGATTCATCTTTTCACGTTCTGACAGTGAAGATCAGTTGAAGGGATCTTATCCCCTCATGTCTGATAACGTCTGCAGTGCTGGCATCCTCTGTTTACTCCGACTTCATGATTTTTAAATGCAAAGGCTATAAATGAGACAGTAATGAATTATGGCAGCAAGAGAGAACAAGTGCCATAAAATAACTGAAACAAAACTGCATTCACTTCAACTATGTCCTCGTTAAGACATTATTAATTGGATGTTTTTTTTACACAATAACGGATCTGTTCTTCAATAGTGTCTGTACAGTGAATAGATGTGATGGCTTGATATTTAACTGCGTTTAAGTAGATTTTAACCAGACAACAGCTGCTGGCTCACATAAATGATGTTTGCTGTGATGTACAGTTTTTGTTAATTTCAGAGTGAAAAGTGAATGAAAGAAAAGATTGAACATTTTTCCTGCTGTTCAGGTGTTTTGCTGTAAACGGATCAGTACATAAAGACCATTTTTACACAGACCTGCTTTGAGAATGAGTCATGGTACTGTGGATGCACTTTCTGTTCCATCTGGTGTTTGAATCCGCAGCTCACCGCCTCACCTCCATCTTTTTCTCTCTTCCCAGAACAATATGAATCTTTTGTGAAATTCACACAAGACCAGATCATGCGAAGATACGGAGCCCGGCCTGCTAGTTGTAAGTTTCTGGAACCATAAATATTCTCTGAGTGAAAAAAGAATGATCTGATCAAACATCTAAAGTGTCAATGATTTCATTTGTTTCAGATGTCTCCTGAACTCACGTGGATTTAGAACCCAGCTTCCTCTCACAAGACGGCTGCTCTTCCACTGCCCCCTCCCTCCACTCGATTTTCATTTTATTCCCCTATTTTTTTCCCCTCCTCCATCTCAAACTGTTCGGGTGCCATGGTTTATCCAATTTTTTAATCCAAAAGTTGATTTCTTAACTTTAAAACTATTGCTGCTGGCCAAAAGTTAGAATCTGGGAGATGAACTGTGTATGAAGCCCGTCCCTCTTTTTTTGCCCTTTTTCTTGTTTATATGCTCTTTTTCTTGAAATCCTAATGAAAGCAGATCTGTGTCAAATCTCTTGCCAGCGCTGTAGAAAAAAAGCTTATTGGCTCATATGATCATTCTGTATAACCTTCCAGCAGCTGTATTTAATGTCTCCAGCTTCCCACGTCGTCCTACATTTCTCACCTCCCCCTCCTTCCCTCCTCACTCTTTACTCGAATGTGGATTTTTCTCCCTTTTGAAAAAAATAAAAGTTCTGTGATTAAACTCTGGTGTCTGGGATGTTGGTGTCTCACTATGACTGGTCCTCACCAGCAGAGGAAGTGAAATGGTACTGGTGTTCATATTTCCAGTTTTCTGATCACTTCCATTATCTGTCTGTTATCTTTTCCCTTGAGGGTCTCGGGGAGCTGCAGCTGATCTCAGCTGACATTTGGTGAGAAGTGGATTTAAATATATTAACGTGACGAGAGTCAGGTTTGCTTTGCGCTGGTGCAGTCAATTGAAATGTCACTTAGACAGGTACTTTAAAGTACAACAGTAAATACTTTCATACTTTTTCCTTTGAGAAGGTTGAATCAATACAAATACTTTAACTTGAGTCATTTTTGTATGCGTACTTCTACTAGAGTAACAAATGTGAGTACTTTTGCCACGTTTGCGACCAACTCCTCATTAACCAGCTTCTCACACACTCTGAAGTATTTCAACCACCTTGGATGTGAGAAAATTGTCCTATCAAAATTTAAAATCCACTGAATCACTGTAAAATGAACTGTACGACCCTGAAAGCACCGACATGGAGGATTATAACCAGGACTTATGTTATCAGCAGCAGCCTTCACATTTCACTGCGTGGTTTTAAATGTCTACAGGTTTGAGAAGCAGGTCCTGAGTTAACCTGCACTTAGTTACACATACATGTAGAAAACCTCTCAAAAGTATAATCACAGTTACATATAAAGAGTTGTGAGCATCAACCTGCCACATCAACAATGCTGGTCCATTTATCTTAATTGTGGGCTCCAGCGCCCCCTGGTGGTACATGTAACACAATGCAGCATTACTTTTTAAAGTGTGGTCTCAGTGACGTGGATCTGCTGCTTTTGCCCAATGAGGATGTACGGTGTGTGTGTGACGTCACGGGCGCTCAGGTGTGGCACGCCTGGAGGAAACAGGTAGAAGAGTTGTTGCTGTCCGTGTCTCTGCAGCTCAGACTCATCGTGTCCTCAGAAACAGATCCTGCAGCAGAGGAAGAGACGAGCAGCTGAGCTCTGTTTGGTCTGAGGAAGGAAACGTGCTGCAGGAAAAACCAATTGAGGAACTATAATTATCTTCAAGAGCCTCCGTCCTCCTCTCGTCTTTCTGCCGACCTCTCAGGGACGGAGGGAGAAGACAGCGGGTTGTCTGGGAAAAGGAAACATGGAGGAATGAAAACATAGACTTTAAACCGAGAGTGTATGAGCACGTGCACACTGAGCAGTTTGAGTGAGTTCACAGGATCCAGCTGTTTGTTTGTCTCTTAGTTGATTTCTATGCGCTCGGGATCGAGCGGAGTCATCGAAGGTTCAGGTGAGTGAACTGAACTTCGTGTTTGTTCCACCGAAAACTTCAAATGTTTCAGTTGCACTTACTTTTCACTGTGATTGTAAAATGAAGAAGCTTCTGTTAAATTAGATTTGAAGTCTGAGACTCTTGGAAGCAGCTGAATGAGTAACGCCCAGTAAACAGGAAACGCTAATTATCAGGTTGCTGCTGTAACTGTAACGTGAAACCAGAGCTGGAGAGTAACTAAGTAAAGTACCTCCACTCAAGTACTTTACACTACTTACAATAAGAAGTACTTTTTTCTGCTACATTTTGGTGGCAAATATGACACTTTGGTTCCTTTGTGGATTCAGATGTTTTATATATATAAATGTTTACTCATTTATACATCCATAGTCATAATTGAATTGTATATATTATATATACATAACTTCATATGACAATGAATACATCAGATCTTATTTATTAGTTCCTGACTCTGGAAAAAAAGTCTTGTGTGTACTAATATACTAGTAGGATATACTCCTTTCTATGTTGGCATGTAATGTTTGTATTTGTACATGAGTACTAGGCCTAATTATAGTAGTAAATTAAATGTAATGGAGTAAAATGTACAATATGATCATAATAATCGGTTCAAACGGACTAAAATGGGACGTAAAAGGACTAAAAAGACAAATAAAGAGACGTATATATACGAACACAGAGAGATTAAACAATAATGAATAGATACAGACAGGCCACAGAGACTCAACTTGTTTTGTTTCTCTTTCAGTCTCAGTGTCATGGTTCTATGAAACAGGGGGGAAAGTGTCCAGGGGCCCATTGTCTCATATTTGGCTGTAGGTTATAAATAGAATTTATTGACAATAGAATGTTAAAGTTGTGTCATTATTAATTTATTCCACGGGCTGAATAATGTGGCTGTTGAAAATGTACAGTTAGACTCTTAATACACATTTCAAAAACATGTCTCTGTGTAGCGTCTTCATTAAAAGTCTTTTAATCCGGCCCCTGCTGGTGGAAGACAAATCATCTCGAGGTCTCATCTGACACACTGTGCTCTTGTAGGACTGTGGCAGCGATGGGCGACATGGACATCGAGCAGCTGGAGCCGCTGCCCGTGGACCGAGATGGGAGGCAGCTGAGGAGCGAGGGGGACCAGCCCGACGGCCTCAGGAAGCCGGGGTGCTGCGAGAAGTTCCAGCAGTCCGTCTCCAAGTGGATGCTTCCGGAAGACCTGCGCAGCAAGTACCTGGAACGTACCAACTGCTGCCCGCCCCCCATCTTCATCATCCTCATCAGTATCGGAGAGGTAGCTCTGACACACATGTTGTTGTGAGTGCTGGGACAGAGGGTATGGATCCTGTGATCTCATTACACAACATGCAGCCGCGGCGTTGATTGCTGTATAGATTTGCTTTGATTGCATGTAGTTGTGCAGATGTTGGGGTGACGGGATGGAAGCGTGGGTCATCGGCCTCTTCTGTGTGTCTGACGCTTCTTTTTCATCCTGAGACATTCGTATGCCTCCAGAATATCGTGTCCGTCACATGATAGAAACCTCATCAACTCATCTCTTACTGTGAGTTTCCAGACACTCTCCTGCTGGATTCTCACTTCCAGATAGTTCAGTAGGAAAATGGCAGGAAACGTTTAGGAAAGTGTCTGGAGCAGCTGACGAGCACTTTTGTTTTCTCACGTATACAAACCCTCTTGGAAAATTTCAGGAGAATGTCCAAACGTCAGCGCGTGTCTCAAAGCAGCGATAGTGGAAGGGTGGGACATGGACATGTTTCGACATTTTCATGGAGTCTTGGTGCTGAACCAAATAAAAATGCGTTATCTAGTGGATGTAAATGTGATTTCTTTGGGGGTGGGATTATTTTTTCTGACGCTGGACAGTAACAAATAGAAACTTGTAAAGAGAACCAATGTGTGAGATCCTGTGGATTCAGGCGGGAATCCACAGTTTATATGATTCGTATACTCATGTCTGATTTGCCGTGGATCCAGAACCGTCACACGGGGCCTTGTTTTTGACGTTGTCACTAATTTGCTGGAGAATTTCATGATGGGTCTGGTTTTATTGGCTCAGCTATGAGGCTTGATTGAATTAAGATGGACTGATGTTGTTTCTGTCTGTGTCGTCTGGCAGCTGCTGCGTCGCCTCCTCTGAATGTCCCGATTCATCGTGTGTAATAAAGTACAGACAGTCGGCACGTTGTCAATAAAAACAGTAGTTTTTTGTGAGTCTTCATGTTGAAGTGGGTCCAGCTGATCCTCGGTGGTGGGATCCAGAGATGCTCTCCCTCAGCGTGTAAACAGAAAAGCGGCGTTTTTTTATTCAGATGAATAAAACACATGTGGAGGGCCAGCGGGGATTTGTTGAAATGGGAAAATGGTGGATGACCCCCTGTGTGTGCCATTTATTATGACTTAAAGCTGATCCCACCAGGGATGCGTTCAAGATTCACTGTATGTTAAAGAAACTGAGCCTCAGCTCAGGAGATGCTCAGTTACTGTGTGAACTTTCGAGCTTCATGTCGACCACTGATATCAATCCTTACGATACTAATCACACAGGAAATGGTTCCTAACACATGAAAATGTTAAAATAAGCAGATCTATTCCTGAACATAACCAACTCTTATCAGCATCCTGCAAAAAACTGCACCTCTAAATTAGTTTTCAATATGATGCTAAACTGAAAACATCTCATACAGATGTGTTTTCACAGCTATGGTGCTGTTTTAGAAACTGATATATTGCCAAACCACAAGCAGGTTTTGCCGGATCACAAAAGTAGTTTTTGTGATATTCATTCTTCATGTGGGGAATTTAACATGTTATAATCTATGAAAGCTCACTGAATAAATGAACTTTCTTTACGTCAGTGTTTTGTGACCATTTACAATTTAACCCTTTGATGCACATTCATGCAAACCACTTCTAATGCACAACATGGGTCACTTTGAGTATATATTGAATTACTTATGGGTTTTTTTTTTTAAGTTTCTTATCCTTACTTCTTGCCTCTTTATATTATTTCCTCTCGTGGATGAATGAATAAAAGATATAAAATCTCTGCAAACGTGCAAAAATTCAGATTTTCAACTGGGTCACATGTTAACGTCAGATTCAGGAGTTTTGCTTGCTAACTATTCATTCATGTGAATGAACAGCTCGCTCTCTGCAGCTCACAGACGTCCAGTGTCACTGACTGTCTGTGAATACTTGGTTATTCGCTGGGATTCAGCTCTTCATTTACCCGGAGGACGATTGACTGAGCTTCTGTGTTCTCAGCGTTCCCTTCGTTTATATTTACACAAACACAAGCATTGGGATCACACTGGGTATTCACTGGGGTCCTCTCAGTGGGATACTCATCTTGGTTAAAGCAAACCTCAACATCCGTACATGACTAATTCCCTCCTCGTTATTTTCTCAGCTGTTTCACCTTCACCCTCTGCGTTTTTCACCAGCTTCTAACGTGTCTTTTTGGATTCCATAATTCAAGCCTTATTTCTGTGTCCGCTCTCTTGTTCGCCAGTTGGCCGTGTTTATCTACTACGCCGTGTGGAAACCTCAGAAGCAGTGGGTGACCCTGGACGAAGGCATCTGGAAGAGCCCCCTGTCCTACAAGCCTGAGAACAGACAGGAAGCATGGCGATTCGTCTCCTACATGTTTGTTCACGCAGGGTAAGCCTGAGCGTTCAGACACCGTCACTGCATGATGAAAGCCTGACCCAGGGTGGTAGTGGTTGAAAGCTCAGGGACGCCCGTCATGCAGCGTCACCACCCTGCAGTAAACATCAGTCTGGTGGAGCTCATAACCTTTGTAGGGTTTTCTGTTAAATGCAATCAGAGGTGTTGAATCATTTCTGTGGTTATTTCTCAGACTGTAAATACTGAACTGAACCTCTGTGCTGATCCTGAGTTTGGTACATGTGGTCGTTATTTTGACACATCCTTTCTCACTGTATCACGTCATCTCGTGTTTTTCACTGAGGCAGCTCATGACGACTGAGTCATAGGATACTGGGCACGACTGACTTTAAAATACATTTTCCTAAACACATGTTTAAGGCAATTAAAAATAGTTATAAAGTTATAGTTAGTAAACCGAATCGCCGACACATCTGTGGCAAGAAAAATGTCTCGGAAAAAACCACGAATACACCCAGGAATAAATCAGACCCAGGAATAGAACAGGAAAGCTACAGGGAAACCAAAAGTCCTGACGACAGAGAAGCACACAGGAAATCCAGATTAGCAAAAAGGAACAGTGGTCACGGTCCCTCGCCAACACTAACTGAAATACACCAAACAGGATATTTAAGTCTGGTGATGTTCTCTGTCTTACTGTTAACATGAAAATGCTAAGTGTGAATATAAGTTACAAGGGTTAGAAGTGGGGGTTTTTCTGTGGCGCAGAAAGAAGTCTAATTCAGCAGCTTTCTCTGTGAAATGATCCTCTCACGCTCTGCACAGTTAGAATCAGAAAACTTTGAGCTTTCAAACAGTGTAGTATTTGTCAGAAGAGTCCAACACAAACCAAAACTCTCCGTAGGATTTGTTTATATAATATAATATATTAAAACTACAGAAAATCAGATAACTAACCTTTGAAAACCTACTTTATAGACGCATTTATCACAGAAACTCAGTTGGTGTGAGACTTTCACAGACACTTCAGTATCTGCGTTTGAGTTTGTTGATATGAAAACTCTGATTTTACAAAATAAACAATGCAGAGATTTATGTTAAATCTAAAATTTATGTTCCATACTTGGTCGTATTTGTGTTTTTATTTTAATGTATAGCTCTTTACAACAAAGACACTCTAGAATATGAAGCCTCAATTACATTTCTTTGTCTTAAAAGTTTGATAATGACATCTCAGGAATCATTGATATCTTTTTTTAAATATGTATATATATGTTTATATATATATATGTATACCGGTCTGTATATCGATATTGGATCAATATGGATTGGGCTGTAAAAATGACCCACTGGATTTAATAATCATCTGTTATTTACTAATCCTCAGCTGTTTCTGTTTATTCTGTGCATTTGTGTGACTGGTCTCGTCTCTGCCTCCCCAGTGTGGAGCACATTCTGGGGAACCTGGTGATGCAGCTGCTGCTGGGAATCCCACTGGAGCTGGTCCACAAAGGGTTTGAAGTGGGGATGGTTTACCTTGCTGGAGTCCTGGCTGGTGAGAAATATTTAGCTGGACGTCCTTCTTGTTGGTGGATGCTGTGCACCCAGATGTTTGATGTTAACTCGTCTTGGAAGTTGTTTTTCATGTTCGTGTTGAAAAGAATCCCGTCTGTCAGAAATGGTAAAAAAGTAGAAGCTGATCACGTCTGTGGATGTTTCTCCTCAGGCTCTTTGGCCAGCTCCATCTTTGATCCTCTCAGTGCGCTGGTGGGGGCCTCAGGGGGCGTCTACGCACTAATAGGAGGTTACTTTATGAATGCAGTGGTGGTGAGTTCACACTCGTTAAGTTGGTGTAAAACGTCAGGCTGTTGATTTTGTTGTTTGTGTGTGAGTAGGTCCAGACTGCATATTACCTTAACAATAACTTTGATTGTGTAGTTATTAGTGCAGTGGATCATTTTACACTCAGTTGTACATGAAGACACTTTGATATGATTCTGAGCCTAATTAGAGCAAGAAAAGAATTAGATTTATCAGTTTTCCGAGCACACGTTCAGTCCCTTCATAATTTTCTTCTTCTAGTTTTCTTTGTGAAACAAACCTTCAGTGTGTTTTCAGGCTGTATTTCTGTTTGAGTTTTGCTCTTTACAGCTGGTGACTGTTTCAATTCACAGAATTTCCGAGAGATGATTCCTCTCCTCGGAGTGGCTCGTATCCTCGTCATAGTGATCATTGGTAGGTTCTCCCGTGTGACCTATTTATTATTATTTTCTAATTTCTGTGATCATTCCTTCAAATGGAAATGATTTGACTCCATTTTGTTTTGTTTTTTCAGTCGGCACAGATTTTGGATTTGCCTTCTACAGAAGATTTGTCAATGATGAGGCTGGAATGAGGGTAAGACAATAATCATCATTTATACTTTCAACAGTGCTCAATGATACGTTACTTAGGTTAAAAACAGAAAGTCATATATAAAACACGCATTAAAAACAAAAGACTTTAGAGTCGAGAAAAAGAAAAAACACGTGAATCCAGGGAACCTCCCCCAACCTGTGTGGGATGATGACTTAATTTGCTTGTGGCTACGAACGAGATCAGCAGTTCTTGCTGGGACTTGATTCTTCATGCAGATACTTACCTCTCAGTGTGAGCGTGACTGATAGATACTGTACATCCACCCACTAGCGTTTGAATCTGTACATGTTGACCCACACAAACAGTTTCTCCTTATGCTTTGACGAAAGCTTTATTGTCTTTCCTGCCGATTACCACCAACTCTGCCTTATTCCCTCCACTACCGTCTTATCTCTTCCACTTCTCCACTGCTACTAATTTGCATTGGCAGTTGAACCGGTCCTGCAGGTTTTCAGGGAGGTGGAATGACAGTAGTTGGGGGTCTGTGCTGAATTATCTCGGATGACTGAAGCTTTAAATCTAAAGATCTGACTGTTCTCTCCTCTCAGGTTTCCTTTGTGGCTCATTTCGGTGGAATCGTGGCGGGGATGACCATCGGCTACGTCTTCTTCAGCGCTTACAACAAGAAGCTGCTGAAGGACCCACGTTTCTGGCTGTGCATCGTGGGCTATGCCGTCTTTGTCATCTTTGCCGTGCTCTTCAATATCTTTCTATCACCAGCGCCGTAGGACCATAACACTGTGGCTTTTTAAAAACACTAAACGTCTTTTTGTTACACAGAGGAAGTCGTTTTTTGAAAAATTGCTTCGCAGAGATTTTGTGAATCTAATTTTTTTTTTTGTTCAAATTGAAAGGTGCCCCCTACTGTTTTTGTGCTGAGTTGCAACATGCATGTGTTATTTCAGACAAAGTTGATAATGAAATGTGCCTTTTTAAAGTGTTTGATCCGATATGTCTCTTTTTACAAATATGTTCCTCGGTCTATTTAGTTTTTAGATTTTAGATCTTTTTGTTGATAGTAATGAACTCACTGATCATTGTCATCATTTCCTTTAATAGGAAATAACAGCCATACTATTGTGGAAAAATAATTAGCTGTTAATCATTTTCTTTGTTGCCTCTTAGGGACTTCCAGTATTCCTGAGCATGTGCCTTAAACGTGGGGACACCCCCACCACCACCACCATATGAAGCATTAGATTTATGAAAGATCATTTGTTGGGACGTGTTGATCACTTCATGTTTGACGACACTAACGAGAAGAAAGTGTTTACGCATACGTCTCAGGTACAAGGGACGAATGTCTAAAATGGTGGTATTTCCTTTTCCTTAACAACTTATTTACCGTCAGGCCTTGGCTCAATGCAGCGTCATAGTTTTAGTCACATCCTGTTGAAAGGAAGTCGGTTATTACTGTATGTGTGGAGCTGATTAATTTTCCTTACAATACAAATTTGTTTAAAACAAACATCCAGCTAGTTTATCTCGTCAGGACTACATGTAAATTGTTTGAATATAATTGTTACTGTTGATATTTGATTTGTTTTCTGTTTGATACAGCAGGGACTCTATGGAAACGACTGCTTTTGCTGTTTTAACATTATGAGGAAAGCTGCATATTATCCAAACTCAGCACATCAGTGTAATTCAGTCTATTCAGTCATCACTTTTCACATATCACAAACTTGTTTATCTTGACCCTGAAACACAAGACATTTTTTATGATGTACATTTGCATTAGAGAAATGTGACGTTTCTTATTATTAAATATATTATACGAAAGTGATCGTTGATTTAGTGTTTTTGCATTTCATTTTATTATTTATGTTAAGTTTCATACTAGGAGTAAAGAATTGTGCTTTAAATCCAGAAAATCCTGGGTTCTTTAAGTAACACTGTGTAAGTTTAACTGAACAACAGCGCCCTCTGCAGCCAGAAATAGGGATTCATTCAGTTGCCCATGAATGTGTTATGTCGAGTTCTAACTGCGTAGTCCCAATCATTGAACTGAAACACAACTGAGCGGTGGATATTACCCATGATCCCCAGCTTCCTGAACCAGAACAGCTGCTTCTGTAACAAATCCATCAAACTCTGTTCAGAATCTTTATATTTTACATTTCCTGACCGAACATTTAAGATAAAAGCAGTTTTTTAATAACTTCTTAGTCTTTTTAACTGATCCACAGTTCAGCTTTACCTGATTCTGACAATTGAAGCTGCAACAAAAGCTCCTGCACCCGTGACCCACTCAGTCGGGAACAAGTTGGGTTTAGTTCATAAATAAGACATCAGAGTGAGTGTGTCAGGAATACTACAAGCAAAGCATAATATTTTAGTAAGTTCATTTCTAGAATTAATCTTCTTCTCTTGATATTTGATTTCACATTTGATCTGAAAACTAATGCTGTACTCTGCTCAGCTGAAGTAGACCAGTACATACCCTGATCCAACTCGTTTTAGATATTGGGGCCAAAGTACAAATGAAAACTGATTGTTGTGATCGAAAGGGAACGAACAGGAAGTAGCTCTGTGATTTTAATGTCACCTCAGTGTGAACCTCCGTACCCCTAATGTGTTTGTGCTGGACTGGTTTGAATCAATGCTGCCCTGCTGGGAACTCCCCTCATCAACTCTCCCTCACCCAGTGTGTCATGCTCTGTGTAGCCTGACACCAACATTAATTTAATAAGCTTCTTGTGTGGAACCATTGTATCACGATTGAACCAAGGTAACAAGCATATTAATCAGACACGAGCCGTTTAATGGTGTTTGTAATCCGGCTGTGTGAAGCTGGCAACCAGCAGTTAGCCAGCATGCTAATCCATCGTGATAGATTTCTTGTAAATGGGATAAAATAATGTGTCAAGTGAACAAGGACTTAATTACATCCAGAGAGGAGCAGCAGAGTATGAAATCGGACGTGATGACTCATTGATCATTTCACTACAGTAGAAAACATTGATCGTACAAGGCTCGAGCGGATAACTGAGCAGTATTGACGATGTGGGGATTCCAACAACAGTATCTGTACATCCTGCTCTTTATTTGAACATATGGAGGAAAGAGACTCAAATAATTGTGTGTTAATATATTCAAAACTTATGGTCTGGCCTTCTAAAGCATTTACCTGGAAGGAGGTTGGTTATCAAATGATAAATTTAACGAACAAACCGCCCAAAAATACGTTCAGCCGTCACAAACTGTGCTGTTGCATTTAGGAAACTTTCTTAAAAACTGTTGAAATGATGGAGTTATATTAGGACACAAATAACAAACTGACCCGCTAAGATTGAGGTCAGTACTGGTGTTAAACCCAGTTACAGCCCCATCACTGTGAGGCTGTGATCTAAATGCATCAGGAGTTCGGTATCGACGTCCTCTGGTCAGAGTAGAGTGCTGGTTGGCAGCCTTCCCTGCCAACAACTGCTCGGTCGCTCCCACTTTGTTTCTGGCAACGCTGAGGCAGAGGCGGGTCACTGAGGTTTAGGTGATGTGCACAGACTCATGTTGAGGGCGCTAACGATTTTTAAAACTTTTTGGTGACCGCGTCAGGGCTGCATGACCCGAGGAGATTTGAGTCACCACCGGCAGTCTGTCCATGCCGCTGCAAGGTAAACGGAAACGATGCAGAACTCTGGTTTATATAATGTCTCTGCTGAGGGGAATAGTTTAATGTGACAGAACTGGACAACAGATGAGACTAGGAAACACAACAGTGGAGTCCTCTTTCTGTTTACTCTCGATATATCTTTTTGCAAACATGTGACTTTTTACTGCATTGTGCATTTTTACTTCTCAAGTTTCCTACTTGTTAACGTTTCATTTTTCCTGTTCAGAGGTACTGTCATTTTGTTATTTGGTTACTTTTTCTGTGGCTTTTTGGTTCTTTATCGGAAAAAATTGTCTGTTCTCTAATGTGCTCATTTAATCTGAAATGTCTTTGCTGTTCTTCCTGTTAGTGAATCTCTATACATGCATGTACTATTACCGATTCATCAATCAATGAATTTCAATCTGTTTCAGCAGATTTTCTTCTTTAATCATTTCGTCTTTCTGTCAGTCACAATGGCAGAGTGAAGATGGGGGACTGGAACTTCCTTGGGGGCATTTTGGAGGAGGTGCACATCCACTCCACTATGGTGGGAAAGATCTGGCTCACCATCCTGTTCATCTTTCGCATGCTGGTCCTCGGGGTGGCAGCGGAGGACGTGTGGAACGACGAGCAGGCCGACTTCATATGCAACACTGAGCAGCCCGGGTGCAGAAACGTGTGCTATGACCTCGCTTTCCCAATCTCTCTCATCCGCTACTGGGTGCTGCAGGTCATCTTTGTGTCTTCCCCCTCCCTGGTTTACATGGGTCACGCGCTCTACAGGCTCCGGGCGCTGGAGAAGGCCCGGCAGAAGAAGAAGGCGCTGCTGCGGAGGGAGCTGGAGCTGGTCGATGTGGAGTTGGCAGAGGCCAGGAAGAGGATCGAGCGGGAGATGAAACAGCTCGATCAGGGGAAGCTCAACAAAGCTCCTCTCAGTGGCTCCCTGCTGCGCACGTACGTGGCTCACGTTGTTACTCGCTCTGTGGTTGAAGTGGCCTTCATGACGGGCCAGTATCTCCTGTACGGCTTTCACCTCTACCCGCTCTTTAAATGTGAGCGGGATCCTTGTCCCAATGCTGTGGACTGTTACGTTTCCAGACCAACAGAGAAAAGTGTCTTCATGGTGTTCATGCAGTGCATCGCTGCCATCTCCCTCTTCCTCAACATCCTGGAGATCGTGCACCTGGGCTACAAGAACATTAAAAAGGCCATCCTGGACTTCTACCCTCACTTGAGAGAAGACAGGGATGAGCTCGATGACTACTATGTCAACAGGTATAAAAAGGAATCTGTTGTGCAGATGGGCACTTGTGCAGGCCGCAAGGCAACGATCGCCTCCGCACCCAGTGACTACAACCTCCTGATGGAGAGGATGCAGGGCACCGTCATGTACCCAAACCTTATCAAACCTTCAACTTTTCTACCTCTTCAGGGCGAGCAGGCCGCTCAGCAGGACTCAGATGATTGCAGAGGTTCAGCTCAAAGCCCCCCAGGGCCTATCTGTACCTCGACTACCAATGAGTCGTGCTCTCCGTGCTGCGACTCTGTGATTAATCCAACACAGGGGGGTAAGGACTTTTCACATCTGCCCCCACACAGTGAGGAGGAGAGCAGTGAGGGAGGAGGCCCAGACTCTCCGAAGTGCCCACAGATGGCAGCTCACGCCTCCTTCTTCCCGACGCTGCCAGTGAGCGCGTCGAGGAAACCGTCGAAGGCTCAGGGCTCGTTGAAATGCTTCACGGTGCTGGAGAGTAAAAGCTCTGACACAGATTCATACGGCGGCACAAAGGCCAGCAGCAGACCTCCCTCCACTCTGTCAAAAACAGAGGACAAACATCAGAGCCGAGCCTCCACCCCAGAGTCACTGAATGACTCCAGCTCAGGATCGAGCCACGACCAGAGACCTCCGTCCTCCAACTGTAAAACATCACTGGCAAGTAACACGAGCAGCAAGCGAGCTCCAGATCTGCACATCTGAACTCTTCAAACGTTTACTTGTTTCCATCATTGTCACACATCAGTGTTACATTTAGACTTTTCTCTGTACACAGCTTTAGAACAGGGGAGGGTTTGGCAATACCTGCTTTTTGTTCTGTTTTTGTGCTAAAGTTAGATCAATTCAATTCCAATGAATTTGCTAAAAATTTATTTATTTTGATGATTTAATTAATGTTTTTTAAATATTTATCCAAACTAATTTTGGAATAAACCTGTTTTTAATTGTCACTAACTTGCATGTATCGGTACCAAACTAGTGTAACGTGGAAATATTTGCTATATTTGCCATATTAACGTGTTCCATGTTCTCCTGGGTGTTAAATGCTATCACCGTATACCTGACCATATCAGTAAGCAGCACACAAATACCTCTGGTTTTCTGTCTTTCTGCCCAATAGCTCTGACTCTGTCCCTGAAATAACTGAAAATTATTTAATCTGATTAAACTTGGTAGAAAACCAGGTGTGCTCTTCGTTTGTCTCTGTATCAGTGTTAGAGTTGGTCTGTTTCTGATTTCACTTTGTTTTGCATCAGTGCAAAACATCAAGTAATAACTTTTAATGTGATATCAGGGTTTCTGCAATGTTCAATTCAACTAACGTCTTCTTGCTCTGTATAACAATAAGAGTTGAAACTATTTGATCAATCGAATTCATTGATTTACAGGAAATAATTCACCTTCAACTGAAGGTTGATTAAACCCTTGCTGTTCAGAAATGAGTTCAATCAGTGATACACCATTAATTACAATACTGTGCTTTATTTGACAGCTTTTTAGAACAGTTCACTCACAGCAGACTTTTCAAATAAAGTTTAAACAGGTCACAAACTGTTTGTGCCTCTAAAATGTATGTAAAAAAAAAAAATAATTAAATTAAATACTATCAGCAGTTTCACCAAATATTATGTATGGAACCTTTCAGGCCTGTGAAACACTGATGTAATGTCTTAAGAAGTGATTTGTCCAGTCATATATACTAAAGAATAAAAGAAGAAGACCAGCTTATATATGTACTGTACATGTAAAGAATAAGACGTAGAAACAGCAAGGTTACATTAAACAAATATTGGCTGTCTCAATTAAAGTATTGTGTTGTCTTGAAATCTAAAGTGCAGGTATTTCAACAAACAAAATACGTGAATCAAACCAAATCTCTGCTGTGGTCTATTCAGCTGTGGCTCCACCTTCTGACGCAGCTTCATAGTGCTGCAGCTAGAGAGACAAAAGAGTTTATCTGCATTAGGTGCTTTGAACGGTTTAACGAGCTGAATGGACTTTTGGAAAAGCACAGAGTTTACCTTTGTTTTGAGGTCTTTGTTTTCCTCGGCCAGACGTGCACACCTCTGCCTCAGGTCAATCACCTCCTGCTGCAGAGGCTCAGTGTTGGCTGAGGTCTGGCCTGCTGCACCAAGATGCTGCTTCACAAATCTGGAGGGAGTTCGTTAAAGTAGTAACCTCAAAGATTTCAGTTCTGGTCGATGTGGCGACACCTGTAGTTACTGGTGGTAACACGGTAATGTGGTGTGATACAACAGCTCAGAGAATCCTGGGGGTATTCTCAGAGGTTCAATCCACCACCAACCACACGTTCATATGAGTGTGTCATGAAGAGCCTTGTGTGTTTTAAAGGATACTCCAGAGCATTGCTGGGTCTTTCAGGTTGTTCATACAAAGCCACGAGTACTGAAACCAAACAGAGAGAAAGTGTTGAGCCACCACCACACTCACATTTAACAATAACAAAGTTTGACTGCATTTATTTATGTCAAGTTATTCTTCTGTAAGCATGCCGCCTCAGACCGAAATAAAACACATGCATTTGAGAAGTTTGCTGTTTTGTTTTTTACTGGGTGTGAGTATTTATTCATAAAGAGAGGGAAAAAAACCTGTTCCATACCACTGGTGAGACTGTCAACAACACCAGCTTTCTCCAGGTATCTGCGGAACTGCTCCCTCTTGGTGTCTGGAGCCTGAAGGAAGAGAAGTCAGACATTTTGTTACCAACTGATAACTGACAGTCCGAATCTAATTCAGTACAGAGCCTGGAGCAAAGAACAGTAATATCATTTCATCATTTCTATTATCATTATTCGTATAGCTCTTTTCAAAACAGAAGTTACAAAATGTTTATAACTAGCAGTTATTAGTGTCTGGTGTTGGACTTTACCCCACGAATTAACAGATTTCCCCACATTATCGAGTTAGGATTCTAGATTTAATATAAAAAAGAAAGACGTATACACAAAATAGCTTGGTCTGAGTTACAAGCTGCAGGAGAACATGCTGTCGCAAACATGCAGATTGTTTTGTGACATTAGTTTCGTCTTCAGACACGTGGAGGCTCCAGTCATTCCTCAAACCTCAGCTGTGTGTTATCACTGATCAGCTCCAGCCCGCTAACCCGCACACCTCGGGACAGAACCCGTCCGCACACAACCTGGATGTCAGGTACAGCGGCGGTGAACACACTTACTCTGTGATGCGCCATGGTGATACAGGTTGTACAGCTGACTCTCTTCGTACAGACGCTGTGTTTGTTGTCGCTCGCTCTCCGGTTAAAGTGTCGCCGAGCAGGAAAAGTTCACTTTCGTTTGCCACCTTCCTGAAAGCAACGTTTGCTGCCTTCAGGTGCTCCTCGGAAAAAATAACAACGTGACCGCAGCAAAACACCCACGTTATGTTTTTATTGTCTGCAGAAAAACCTCGCAAGCCTGGCGACGACACAAGAAGGAGGAAATAAAGTTCAAATGACCTGTTATCTTCTTTGTTTGAAATGGATCCTCTTACTTATCCCTTCCATTAATCATTTTGACATCACAGGTTTTCTTTATTTGTGTGGTATATTTCAATATTCGGTCTAGGGCTGGACGACATGGCCAGAAAATGTATCAAGGTAAAAGTTTTTATCATATTTGTCGATATTATCACAATAAATATCACTTAATTATTTCTTTTTAAGTTTAACGAGTGATTTTTGCTCCTGGGTGAAGGTTTTGGTTCTTTATGAACAGAACATGACAAACACTTGATTAAAAGGCAAAACATTTGTAAATCAATTTTGTGCTATACTTCCCGACCGTGCACAATAAATGAAAAAATAAAAGTACATTTACATCTGTTACTGTACTTAAGTACATTTGTATGCATGTGTGGATTTTTGGGTGGGTACTTAACTTTAGTTTTAGTCCACTAGCAATATCTCTGAACATTCTAATTATTGCATGCTACTTATTATTACTTTAAACTTTATTCCTGACGGCCCTCTGTAACGTTCCAAATCCCCCTTCTGTGGGACTAATAAAGGATTATCTTATCTTATCTTTTCTTATATTATATTATATTATATTATATTATATTATATTATATTATATTATATTATACACTGTTGCATATTATTGGTGAAATAAAATAAACCAGTATCAAAAGAACTAGTGGATTTCTGGCGCCATCTGCTGCTAAATCCACAACTACCTACTTTCTCTTTGTTTCGTTTTCAACAACTTTGACGAAATATTAAATTATTCTACAACAATTTAAAAACGAGCGGATCGTATATTCTCCCTTTAAAAAAAAACAACTAAATTCTCTTTTAAAAACAGATCGAAGAACGCGTCCTCGTTCCTGATTCGGGTGATAGGTCACAAAACAAGTCCGGGTACTAGTCAGGTGACAGCGATGAGCCTCGGCAGAGCGACGGGCGCTTCCACCAACCGCGTGGCGGATTGTAGCGCAGGCGGCGAATCGGAGCCAAGGGGCGGGAGCGAAGGGGCGAGGGAGAGGAAATCCTGAGGAAATGTGTGGGATCACGCTCCGTGTTTCCAAGTAGCCGGAGGTTGATTTACTCTTTATTTCAGTACCTGGCGACACTTCGCGGCGCACAGCGACCGTCTCATCCGATCCAGGGGTGCGGCTCAAGGGGGGGGATCCAGGGGGAAGCGGGTCAAAATGTCGATCCAGTACGACGTGGAACAGCTGGCTGACAGCTACGAGGTTGCGGACTCGTTCCCCAAAGATTTCGGCTACGGCGAGGAGGAGGCCGACATCGAGGACAGCCCGGCGCCGTCCGACAGCAAGCCCCGGATCCTGCTCATGGGTCTGCGGAGGAGCGGGAAGTCCTCCATACAGAAGGTAGGGAGAGGCGGGGAGAGAGAGCGATAGCCGCTTCCGAGGTGAGCGGCGCCTTCCCCCGCTTCACGTCGGTGGGACGCTAGCCTCAAGAGCTAGCTTGAGTTTAGCATGTCGCGAGGGGTGCTAGCTACCCACCAAGCCCCACAAGAAGGAGGCACGTGTGCTTTAAAGAGGCTACCGTAGCAGCTAGCGACCAGTTAGCCTGTTAGCTTGTAGCAGGGACTCATGAACCTGAAGTGTTGGGTGCAGAGCATGTGACTGTCTGGTTAACGACTTGTCCAACATGATGTATCTGAGAGACACCCAGCTGTGAGTTCTGATCTCAGTCTCTCACATGACACAGTGACCACACCTTCACTCCTGCAAGTCACAACACTGTGTTTTCACATCGGTGCAGCACCTGCAGCTCCTACTCCAGCCTCTCCCACCTGGTCATGGCTGTATCAAAGAGCTGTTTGTGTCCAGAAGTTATGAGTCCCCCCCTCACCCCTCACCCCTCACCCCCCGTCTCTGCACTTAATATAAATACACACCATGTCCCAGCTTCCAAAGTCCACATTAAAGGCTCAGGGTGTAGAATTTAGGGACATCTAGTGGTGAAGTTGCATGTTGCTGAACCCCCTCACCTCACCCTTCCCTTCCGAACATGAAAAATAACCTGTGATAGCTTCAGATGTTATAAAAGCTCAAAAGATGTTTAGTTTGTCCAGTCAGGGCTACTGTATTAGGTATTTAAATATAAAGGGCTCATTCTAGGGTAATGAAAACAATACGTACAATTTAGATGAAACACACTATTGAAAACATCACTAAGATGATTTTATATTCAATTCCTTCCAATAGATCCATTTCACCTCGTGTTTTGGTTTTTGTATTTACCATAATTTTACAGGCTATGTTAGTTTAATGCACAACTTTGTACAGCTTCAGTTATTTATATTTAAATCTGTATTAATATCTGACTTCAATACTCTGCCTCTGTATACCTGCACCTGTCAATCACCTTACACTTTAAATCTTTGTATTGACAATATCTTCATTAGTACATACGTCTTTACAGTGACAGGTATGTAGTAGTACAGTATATAACCTGCCAACCAACAAGACATGCTTATAACACCATTGCCTTAGTGGAGATCATACTTTAGTATTAGATAGTAGGAGATAATCAAATTAATAAAACTAACTGATGTGCTGTGGACCTGGGGTTTGTGGGGACCCTCGAGGTTGTTGCCCACCTTACTTTAGTTTTTCCTACAGCAAGGTTATCTGTCTCCATCATAGTCTTCAAGCCTGCCACTTTCAGACTGGCACTGTGTTTGAATAATAGATGAGATGCAGTTGTTCCCTCTATGATATTTTATTATTCATGTTCAATTCAGGGGGGGGCAAGTAGAATCAGGTTGGATATATCGTGCCAGGAGCCATACACCGCAGGGAGGGAATAAAAGTAAAGAATTTCCCTGCACTGAAGAGCACACATACACACGTTTTCAGTTTTTCTGTGATCCACACATGTTCAGGTCCCTGAGTGACGCTCCTCTGTGAGCCTCCTGTATGGGCTGAAAAACATGTGATTTGGCTTTTTTCTGGTCTGTTGGCCTGTGACCTCAGTGGCCCACACGCAGTTTCATAATGGCAGCGGTGGAGAGAAGGCTCGCAGGTCCTCCGCTGTTACCCAGTGTGTTCTCTATCTGTTACTGTACCCGATGAACCACGACTTTGATCAGACCAGAAGTACACTTCACTTCATTACTGCAGTTTTAACAAACAATGTGTGAAAATATGCCGCTGAAAACTGCTGAATGTAGAGAAACATGTTGCATCAGACCACTGCGTGTGCAACGTGTTGCACTTTTCCCTCATGCTCCTCATATGACGGCTGGATGATGTCTAGAGTCACCATCAGCATAAAATATTATACAACAGTCTTGACAACCAAAACACGATCATTTATTTAATTCAGGCAATTTTGTAAGACAGCATATTCTAAGACAGTCATTTAAAATATATCTGTTCCTGTGAAGAAAACCCTGAAAAGCCCATAAATAAAACGATTAGTCACTTTAGTTTCATAATTTATGGGCAAATGAGATGTAACAATGTTAAAAGTCTTCGCCATTTTAACACAAATAGTAATTTAACAGACATTTAAGCAAATCAAGAAGCAAAAAAGCTGGCAGGAGATTATACACTGAACGGGCTGCGTTGCTTATCTGTCGGCTCAGAACCATTACAGCAATTCACCTCAGAATGCACGGGGGCGAGGAGAATTTCCAGTCCATTAAGATAAGTCTCTTGGCTGTGATCAACCCGTGCACAACAGACGGTGATATGACTGTAGGTAGACACCGAAAACTCATTTTGAAATAAGAGTGAATATTGGGGGGGAAAATGTTTTATATTACTTCAAGACTTGTTAACTCTGCTAAAGCTTTGACGGAATTGGACGACTTGCTATGAAACAAAACAGAACTTTAGAGCATGCATGTATTTACAGTATATAAATGCAACAACTAGGTTTTTGTTACGTCTCTGGACTCAAATCTCAGGGTCAAATCATCCACATTCATTGGACTCAAAGATCAACTCAAACCCATCTCTCATTTCAGGTGGTTTTCCACAAGATGTCTCCCAACGAGACCTTGTTTCTGGAGAGCACCAACAAGATCTACAAGGACGACATCTCAAGCAGCTCCTTCGTCAACTTCCAGATTTGGGATTTCCCCGGCCAGGTCGACTTCTTCGACCCCACCTTCGACTACGAGATGATCTTCAGAGGAACGGGGGCTTTGATATTTGTCATTGATGCTCAGGTGAAGAACAGGGAAAATCTACAATAAAAATAAAAAACACCATCTGTATATATGTTAAAGAAAGAGACACCACATCCTCCAGCAAGTTTCAGGGTAATCTGTCCAGTGGTTTCAGTTTACTTCTGCAGACAACACATGAACAAAAGTTGATTAAAATATAACCTCGTGGAGGGAATAAAAAAAAGTGGTTAATTTCTTAAAAACAGGAAGTGACTGCATTGTTCCACAGTAATACACTGTGTTGTTTGAAATGCTCTGAACAGACTAAAATATTGATTTATGCTTTTCCTCTTTTCTTGTGGGCAGTGACTCGACATTTCATTTCATTAACAGAACATCCGGCAGTATTCTGACTTCTCTTTTACACACATACACACTGGAAAACAAAAATAATGGAGTCATCCCTATTGTTAAATATGAGGCAAAGTACCATGAGAGGGAGAATGAGCCGGAATAGCTATTCGCATGACCGTAAGTGCTTTCAAGAAGTCATCTCAGCGAGGATGTACACCACAGCTCATCTGATCGCAGAGTTTATTTGTTTTCAAGGAGGTGCATCTGATTCAATTTGCTTCAGCAGTTGGCCACACAGGGATCTCTGAGGAGAGCGGTTTTAGAAGACAATGCAGTGGCACATTTCCTCATCCTGCTTTAGAAGTTATGAGGATGTTCACCTCAGGCTGAAGCAACATATAATTATTAACATGGGCTCAGCTCACGGACGATTGCGTTGTCACTGTCAAAAGTACAGAGATGAGAGACAAACTTGGAAGTTAAGAT